TAGACAAACACTTGGATTGATCCACTTGCATTTGGTTTAACTTGAACAGTTCGCACTGTAAGTAGACCATTCAGGCGTATTCCTTATATTCTTCCTCTTCCAGCTTTATCAATTGTGAACACTTGTAGCGTTGTAAACACATTCAGGCGTATTCCTTATATTCTTCCTCTTCCAGCTTTATCAATTGTAAACACTTGTAGCGTCGTGACACTTCTGTTTCTACTTTGCCGAATAATTTGTTAAGTTTCTACAGGATGTCTTCGAGACTCATTTCTGTGTATAGCAAGAAACAATGATCTATGCTGACTGGCAGGGTTATACTAACAGATCTTTTGCAGATTTAAGGATTATTGCGTAGATCTTTAAATTTATTACTAATATAAGAACGAATATTATCCACCGTCGGGGTAGATATGGGCACATCCGCAGTCACTTACACGACTTTCAGTGGCAAAATCAAACTTTAAATGTTAAATAAATCAAAAACAATTACATGTTTACAATTCTCCCTTAATACTTTTTTGTAGAACTTTAGGAGTACTATCAATGGTAAAAAAGGACCTCAGGTTCTAATCTTTCGGGATAAAAGCCACAAAACAGCGGTCACTCACGCGACTTCAAATATACATAACTTTAGACAGCATTGCTAATAATGGGAAAACTCTGCGAATTGTGTGAATATTTTGAACATTTTATATTCTTTACATGTATAAGAGATATTAAGCATTATTATTGCACTTTCAAAGAACAAGAACTAAGAACAAGAAGAAAAAATGATAAATGTGGTCTTTTTGTGTTTTTTTGCCGTTACTTCACGTATGAAAGCACAATTAAAGAAAATAAATTCTTCGGCTTTGGTTACGGAAATGCCCATATAAATATGGTTTTTCTAGGTGGAACTTCAAGTTCATTTTTTACTCTTAGAAATATCAGTCACAAGATTGGAAGCTTGAAAAGTTAGCAGCATTAGCATTAGCGATTATTGGGGTAATATTGGAAGTTGTGGAATAACAGTAGGTGCTGAGGGAGGAGAGGTCTCAATCGGTGTACTGCAACTATTTTAGTGGCGATATCACTAGGCGATAAATTGGAATGAAGCGCTGAAAGTGCCAGATTATTACCTGCTGAAATATTATTATTAGCATTGTTGCGTAACGGAGCCACAACTGGCGAGAGTATAATGTAATTAAACTATCACATTGAGCAACTACTAACGATTTTTTTCTTTTCGGTGAACCATCTGCAAACTCAAATTTATTAAACATTTTTTTCGAAATTTCTAGAGAGTGAACCGAATCGACTCCCCTTTTCAAGGTTTCGAGTTTAGCTTTCTTTACAGTTACAGTTAATGGTGTTTTTACACGATATGTATTTTACATATGTGCTGTCACTTATTCCATCCATATGTAATTCGTTGTGTGTGTCAAAATATGTAAATAAAGTGACAGCACATATGTAAAATACATATTGTGTAAAAACACCATAATTGGTACTGCCTAAAAGTATGCTAGGAATTTGATTTTAATAAGTTTACGTAGAAACACTATAATAAAAAAAAACAACACAAATTATAAAAATTTTTACTTATATTTTTATTTTTACTGTTAACAGAGACTTCACAATTCACTTTTGGTTGATTATGTCCATGCATAAATCTGAAGTAAATACTGATCATAAATATGCAAAATATATATAATAATATATACGCAATAAGATAATTAAGAGTAATGACCGACCATCGACCATTTTATAAGCTTGCGATATAGAGCTTAAACCGTTTAATATTTTTTCCGCTTTACTCCACCTACAATTAGTCAACTTTCTATTTAGTATAGACGGTATAAGACTACATATCATGCGTTGTCTAAAGTCTAAAAATCTTTTAAAAACGAGTTCATCTTCAATATGTTGATAGTTTGGGTAGGCTCTCTAAGACTTGATAGTTTAGTTTGATATTTGAAACACGTGTTAGTTAAGCGAAGGCTTAACAAATCGCCATTTAGTACATTTTTTTATGCCCGTGGGAGTATTATATTTTTTAAATTTCGACCTTGTGAGCCGTTCCAAGACGAACTCAAATCGTTTAATATTGTTTGCTCTGTTGTTATGATATCATAACACCGGAGGAAAAGCCATCTATTGGTTTTGTCGACGTATCAAATTGGTTTACGTTTTCTGTTGGTGAATGAAAATCTCGTGTCTATATTTGCTGCAGATAGTAAAGGTTGTTTTGCGTTCTGCTCTTGTTGAGTACTTGGTTTTTAATATAGTCGGTCGAATAGTTTTGTGCTAAACTATAGCACCACACTCTTCTTCGATTTTCCTCAAAAGCGTTATTTTAGATATTCGAGAGTTTAACATAAATGTTCTAATAATTATGGCATGTTTATTAATTTTGGGATTCGGACCACCTTCTCGCTTTAAGTCCAATATTTCCAAAAACTGAAAACATTTCCAACCTTTCGATTACACTTTATTACACAATTACACTGAATTACATCATAGGTTAACTTTTGTGTGTTGAGCACGCTTAAAAATTTTGTCATCAAATGATTCCCAATATAACGCAAAAACTGTAGAACACACAAAAACTAACAGCAACGTACCGTTATTTTTATAATAAAACAAAACAGAAGATGTTAAGTGGGCCGTAGACGATCATGCATGCATGACATCAAAATCGTATACGTGTGCATGAAGCTTCAGCGCACACGGTTCATGCATTCATTTTGGATTTGATTTCGTGCTGTGCAGACAATGTCGACAACGGACGAAACAATTTTTTCGATTTTGTCCTTGAGCTTACAAAATAGAGAAAATGCTGAAAAAGGTCTGAGAACGACTGGCATACATCTCTATACATCCATTCCCTTTGAAAAAACGTCACAAATGAGAATATGCACACACGTCAACATCGAACGTCATGCTTGCGAAAAATCAAAAATTTTTATTTTGCTTCATGCATCGTAGGTGTGACACATACATACAAATTTTCACTAACACCACAAAATGCATGTCATGCATGCATGATCGTTTACGGGCCACTTTACACTGGTAAAATTGTGATGTTGTGATATTTTTTTTTATTTTGTACTAAATTTTAATTTGTTTGACTCAAACTGTATTAAGTGCAGCAAGCCATTATGATAAATAGCAAGTAAATATTAAAAATAATATAATTAGTGTTACTTCGAGCTTCTACATGTACGAGAGTCAATTTACAAACTGATTCTTGGCATACTGTACTATACGTTGGAAATGTATTGACAAAAAGGTGGAGGTTATGAAAACGGTTGGTTGGAATTCCAAATTAGGGCCACTTACCGAAAGTGGTGGCAAACTGTTGCTAAAACCTTCAAAATACCTTAAATAGAGAGGAGCTATTTCAAACATGGACTTCTACTTTTTCCAAAGTTGTATGTAACCCTCCAAGAACCAGGATGCCTAATTACAACCCTTTCCGTTCCAAACGAAATTGAAACCATCAAAATACAATATATGGTATATGCCAAAAAATATTCCTTTTGCAATATCAAACATTCCAGGAGTTCTTGCAATGAGTGCACAAAATTTCACAGAAAATCATTATTTAATCGGAATTACAAAATGCACAACAATATTAAAGCCGACTCAATGTAATCAGCTACTATTTTCCCTTGTTTGCTCTTACAAAAATATTGTAAGGGCAAATAAATATTTGCCTGAAAAAAAAAACAAATGTTTGTTCTTATTCCTGCTTACTGTCAAAACAAGCTGACACAATACACATTTTTAAGAAAAGATGCCGCTTATATTCTTACTAAAAAAATAAATAGTTTAGTTGATCGAATACGAATACTCATTTTAACGAATTGAGTCAAATCCATATCTTTAAAATTGGTCAAAACCTTAAAACCGCCATTGCGGTTTTATTAAATTGTACATGGACTTCGCACCTTGCCTACGAATTTGAGCCACAAATAAAAATTGGAAAAAGAACATTACAAATCAAATGGTTCCATCGGTTTTCTTGGATCACATATTCAGATTTAGTAAAATGTGCGTCTTATTTTCAAATAAAGAAGGATGCGGAAAGTGCAACCAACAAGTTTCAAAAATAATTCTGTGTGGAAGGGAGTGCTTTACCTTTGGGGGAAGTAAAGACTCCGGAATGCTGTCGTTCGTCGTAAATAATCCGAATATAGGAAATTTGAGAGCGCTGTTGCGATACAGAGCGGATGGGAATGAAAAACTTAGAACAAGTTTGAGAGTACACCCAAAAATGCAATAATTGGAGAATAAACCCAGAAGTCTTTTGTTGAAGAAGTGAGAAGTGCTGTATTATGGAAGATATAGAGGAATATTTTAAAATTTAATTTCCAATAAATATGTAATGGATGCTAGATCAAATCATTCTTATTACATACAGCTGTAAAGTTAATTGTATTTCGATACTTATACATATATTAGTTATTCTAAAAATTATTAAAACATATGAAATTATACTTCTGTTTTCACTGAAAGAAAGAAATCATACAATTTTATGAAAAAGATTTTCGAAGTTGTAAGCAGGATGCAGAAACTGAAGTGGATCTGTGGACCACTATGTAGAAAGCAAAAGCACCCCGACCATCTAAAAGCATTTGGTGCGATTTAGATGTGGCGAAAATCTGTTTCAGATCTGATTTTTTTAATATACAATAAATTAAATATATACTCTATACGTTAAAAGTAATAAATTTATATATTTTTGTGATCTCAATGAATATTAGTATTGCCTTTGCTTAGAAGTACTATTTATATTTTCTAATAAACATATACGAATTTAACATGTTTTACAAATGATCTATATTAAAATAATATAAAATGTTTTATAATTTAATCATCGTACGTCCCTGATATAATATGAATATTAATTTCTGTGGTGAACATTGTCTTTATGATAAATGTATGCGTGTTCAAATGTGTATAATTTTCTTCCAATAAACTATTAAAATTATTAAAGGTTTTCTTTTTCGTAGGTCAAACTGGTCTGGTTATGGAAATACGAGGTTGGGATAACGAATCTTGTCGTAGTGTTGCTAATGTCTCTTGGGCCTCTGGATCTACAAATGTTTACCGTCTGGGACACAAAGGAAATGTCGATTTGAAATATGTTGCTGCCACAACAGGCGGATTTTATTACAAAGACCATATGCCAGTTTTAGGTGAGTTTTTTTATATGTATGTATATATGGTAAGGGTATACGAAATATTTAGTAGCAGGAAACTTCTCCCAATCCCCTAGAATGGTTGGTCAGCATGACAATGGACACAACACACTGATATTCCATACATTGAAAGTAATAATGGTCGAAAATGAACACCAATAATCTATGAAGTCAATAATCTATTTTGTGTGCCACTTTTGGGCATAAAGTAACTAGTGAACATAGGAACTAGCCATATAACTATACAATAGCAGACAATTTCTATTCATTGAACAACTGGGTACAGAAACATCTATAAAAATACAAAAACCTATGTATCTAAATAAGCTTATTAGCTAGAAATTTCAAACTTTGTGTCAGTTATTTATTTTGATATTCGATACCTATGTATTGAGACTAGTGATGTACGGTGAGAGCTTCATATCGAAAAAGCGATTGCCAAAGGTGCCCTGATGCCGCTTTGTTACAAGAGACATTTTGGTATAGAAGTTTTTTTTTTGTAAATAAGCTATTAAAAGCTTCTGTGGAGAATATCCCCAACAAAAAACTAAGGGAAATGATGAGGAACAGTGGCGAGATCCGAAACTAAAGTCTTCCCTGTCTTACTCCTTGGTGGACAATGCCATATTCCCCACTAATAGTTGTTTTCTATAAAAAACAGCAAACTGGGGTTACGCCTGACTATTTTGCAAAATCAAAATATTCCCCACTAATAGTTGATTTCATTTCTATTAATAACTAAAAAACAAATATAAAAAAGTTTACGATAAAAACACTATTAAATTATTTAGTTGTTCAATGCATTTTAATGTATTTATTCAATGTATTTTATTGTATCATTATACCCTACACAACTATGTTGTCAGGGTATTATAGCTTTGTGCAGCCCCAAATGTTTGTAACGCCGCGAAATATTGGTCCTAGACCCACCTTTAAGTATACCGACCGTCATATCTCGACTAGCTGAGTCGATCTAGACATGTGTGTCCGTCCGTCCGTCTGTCCGTCTGTCCATTATAGTTTGTAAACACGATACAGGCCACAGTTATGGACCAATCTTCACGAAATTTTGCATGTAGGATGGGTTCTGGCCAATGAAAACCCCTATTGTTTTTGGAAAAGATCGGGTAATATTTAGGGGATGAAATGGACCAAAAACATTATTTTTGTCGGTTTTTCTGGTCGCTCCAGAGGCCGCAATTATGGCCCAAATACCGCGAATTTTTGCATGGAGAAGGGGATCGGCCCAGAGAATAAGCATGCATGTTCTGATAAAGATCGGTCAATATTTAGCGGGTCAAATGGGCCCTGACTTTTGTGTGAAAAATGACAAAATTTGTATTCTATGGCATATATATTTACTCCTGGAGGATGTAGACCCGGGGAGTTGATAGCATATTCAAGAGGAGTGGTTGGCCTTTAAATTGATACCAAATATAGTGATGTATGTTACAGTCAAATATTTACAAGTGCTTACGTATTCAGATATTATTTAGTAACCCATTACCACATTAGAGGGGGAAATATCGCGCTGATGGCTTTGAAATGTTCATGAAGTTCCAGTTATGGTCAAGAACAACGCCTACAATTTTCGGTGATGATCAGATTAAAATTTTGGGATGAAATGGACCGAAACTTAATTTTTTTGTGTGTTATCGAGTCGAGTATAATCCGAAAATCACAACACAACCCACCGTGAAGGTAATCTGGACAAGTAATTAGAAGGACTGTACTGAATATTCGAAAAAAGTAAGGAAGAGGTGTTGTTGACCTCTAATCGGACAAGAGGGGGCAGATATCACGAAATATTACTCAGACTCGGAATAAACATCCTCAGAAAGTTAGAGTTCGTGGTAGTTGTGTAGGGTATCGTATGGTCGGCCGCGTCCGACTATACTGCTCCGCTCACTGGTTTTATTTTTATGATTTTCACAATTAATGAAAATGTAAAAGATACAAATGTTATGTAAATTTTAAAATTTCCGTAGGAACCAACAAATATTTATGTAGACATCTCCTTTTTAAAGAAACCTCATTTATTACGCAATAAGTCCAATAATATATAGCCCTGTTAGTAAAATATTGAAAAATTCATTTAATATTTTTCAGTCCACTGCCCAGAGAAGTACAGTGGACTAATTGATATACAGCTTAAAGCTTTGTCGAGTAAAATAAACTAAAAAAAACTAAATCTAAACTTTGATTCAATGAAGGAATTCTTTTGTATGACCAACGAAAAAGCGTACGGTCGAACATAGAGAATGGTGTTAGACCCATTTAACCTAAAGTGACCTACAGTTATGATCGTTAATACAGGCAAACAAAGAACGGTTACCCCCACCCAAGTTCATCAGTTGCCAGTTCCATGTTCTGGGAACGTACCTTGCGTTGCCATGACTGATGTGGTCCATAAGTCGACTAAATTACCAAACATCGAGTACGTCTTTGCGCGGGATTTGAAGAGCAATTATGGTCCACTGAAAGCTGCATTCAGTTGCTTGGAGAGATGGCATGACGTTTAGTGTGCTCTAAGCTTATTGTTGTCAATCTGTTGTGACTGACATTTTTCCTCTGATAAAAACTATTTAGTACTATAGATGCCATTATACATCGATTAATCCTTAAATACGCAATAATATACCGGTTTTTTAAATAAAACGACATGTACATTAAAACTTTTTACCGGGTTAACCTACTTTATGAGGATTTATTTGACATATATTTAATGCAATTGACAACTTAAACCCACTGGGTTTAATGAAATCCAGTAAAATGTAAATGTAATATATACGCCTTCGAAGTCGATGTATTCTATCTTTCAAGTTGTTATTTCAAATATTTAATCTACCAATTTGGCTGCATTTGGTCATTAATTTTGAAGATAAATGTGATTTTTTGGATGTTGGAAACCGCTAGGTACATACCAGGGTGGGTTTTCCAAATTGTAAATAGAAAAAATATATTAAGTAGTGAATGAAATGAAAAGAAGAATATCGAAAAATAGCGAGCGTTTTTCAATTTGTCTCCGCTTTGCTTAAAAAATAAAAATATAAGCACATAATAAAAATCCAATTTTACACTAATAACATTTTTATAGTGTCAATATAATAGAAAAACAATATAAAAAAACAACGTAATCCAGTTTTTTTAAATAAAAAAGAATAACAATAAAGACGAGCAAATTAACAAATCTCGCCGAATGTTTTCAACACCAACAACAAAAACAATCTACGCTACTCCCATATCATCGCAAAACAAATCAAAAATACTCCAACTCATAGAGGCGAAATTTTTTAAATAAAACGAAATAATGATTGCCAAAATAAAAATGAAAATGATAAAATGAAAAAGATTGAAAACAAACAACAAGACATTCAAGTCATACACAATGAAATAAAAATGTTAAAACAAAAAAATATCACGACAAGAAAATCGTTTATCATTTATTTTGTTGTTATGGAAAGCTTTTAAAAACCCAAGATCTTCATAAAATAAGATCTCCATAAATTCATGTAACTACAATGCGGGGAATCACCATTTTACTATTTGTACGCAGACTTTTCCTATGTTGTCAACTAGGATTTTTCATAAACTAATCGTTTTTAACAGTTTTGCCAGATCTACAATAATTTAAACGACATCGATTTCTTTGAAGACCTATAATCAAGCTTATGAAATAATATTGTGTAGAAAATAATTTTTGACAATTATAGAGTTAAGCGTAAGGTTGTACGCAGACTTTTTCTACTGAGTGTATGTGTCAGTTGCATGTTGTGTTTTTAAGTTATAATCTTCAGGTATCAAAAATATATATAAAAATTACGTATATGAATATATAATTACGTATATGTTCGTGATCACTAAACTCAAAATCTACTGCACCGATTTTGACAAAATTGTATGTACAGACACTATGGGGCGTCAGGAGTGTTTCTGTGTAGTTTGAAGTTCATCCAACAGGCGCAATATTTATTTTTTTTTTTTTTGTGTTTTGCACCGTAACTCAAGAACTACTGCAATCGACGTTAAGTATTTCGACACCAATTCATACATAATCTGTCTTCGTGAAAAGCGCTTGGGAATCAAACGAAAAAAAAAACGAAATAAAAAAGAAAAACATAGCTCAAGAACGTCTGCACCAATTTTGATGATTTCGAAGACTTATGAATCGTATGTGATCAAAATATGAATAGTAATTACGCCATCCATACTTATGTTTGGTGGAATAAGTTCCACCAATTGATAAACTGAAATACCATACATACTGACATAATTTAATAGTTAACCATAATAATATTACTTAACACATTCCCCACTAAAAAATAGTTGTTTTAATAAAAACAATAAACTGGGATTATGAAGGTTTACCGTTGCGAGGAAAATATTATGCGTTTTTTTATTGCGGAAACTTGACATAAATTAAATGGTAAAAAGTTTCTGAAATATATTTTTCATGAATTCGTTAATTTTTACAAAACCTAGATTGATGCAATTCTGATAGGGCAAAACAAGGTTAGTATATATATATATATATATATATATGTAGCTTATAGATCGAATCAAAAAAAATTAAGTTTTCGATCCAATTCATCCCAAAATGATTATCTGATTATCAAAATTATAGGCGTTGTCCTTGACCATAACTGGAATCTCATTGAACATTTCAAATATAATTTAATAATGGTTTATTAAATTATATCTGAATACGTAAGCACCTGTACATATTTAAGTGTAACTCCCACATCCGAGTACATACGACAATTTAAAGGTCAACCACTCCTCTTGGATATACTATCAACGCTATAGAATACAAATTTTGTCATTTATCACACAAAAGTCAGGGCCAATTTGAACAGCTAAATATTGACCGATCTTTAAAGATTAAAGATGAACCACGTAGTGTAGCCAAAGTGTATGATATGAATGATCGACGAATAAAAGTTCGTGAAATTGTTAATATCGAGGGCATCTCAAATGATCGAGTCCATTTAATTTTC